TTTTTTGTTTGAAATAATGAATAATCTGTTTTGAATAATTGCTTTGTCTTATTTTATAATTTTTCATCTAAAAATCATTTTTACTTGGGAGGGGTATTCAAAGCTTGCCCACCATGTCATAGGCTTGTATGAGTGATGTTTGAGACACCACAACTAGTGTGGTCTTCAAATCGACCAAGCCTAGAATAAGTATGCATTGGGCTTAACTTGCATATAAATATACAACACAACACATATATTTTTAATTTAATTAAATAATAATTATAATAAATATGATTTTATTGAGTTTGTGCATAGATTTTCTTTCCCCTAAATTTTTTTTCTCACATACGAAGAGTTTTTGACTTCCTTGTATATGATAATTTAACCTTTTTTTTTTAGATAATTTGAGTAGTATGTCATCTATATGATTTTGTTTTTTTTTAATATTTATTGGGGTTATAAATTTTCCTTGTATATGATTGTTTAGTGTTTTCTTATGTGATAAATATTTTTGAATCAATATTATGTGAAGTTGTGTTTTTCCTCATTAGTATCATTGTGCTTGATCTGATAACTTATACAACATATTCAATAGTCAATTAACTCAATGGAAGTGAAAGCTAAGAAGAGACTACTGAGAATATTATAATTTTTTGAGTTGAATCACATGAAAATTTACATATTATAGAGAGAAGTTAAGTTTGAAAGGTACTTCAAAAATATCTCAAGAAGAAGCTAGCCTACGGTAAGTGACTCCATGAGTGACAAGATTTTCGGCAAGCATTTATAAAGATAGCTTGGATCATTATAAAAAGATTTCATAGATGAAGAGAGGGTAGGACACTATGGGGGTTTAATTTTTTAAAGAGTGATAATTCCATGATCTCAAAAAGAATGTCATGAAATTAAAGAGTAGAGTGAGAGTGAGACTCTTTGGAGTAATTGAGCATGATAGAAAAAGGATATTCAATAAAGCATCATCTTTTTTTATTCTTGAATGGTTTCCTAGTTCTTCTATGAATACAATTTGATCATTTTTAGTCCAAAAATAATAATCAAATTTGATAGTATCACTATGTGAGTGCTTGTTCGATGTGTTAGCATTTACAAATACTCATAGTTTAATGCCTTTAGGTTGTGCTACCCTTAACTCTAAGCGAAGGATTAGCCCAACTATTCTTTATGACCTATCTAACCTTATTGTACAATTTTATTATTATTACCTAAGAAATTATCTAAGACTATTTTGGTTCCTCTTCAAGAAGTTGAATGATCAAAATTATCCTTTAATATAGTTGGGAATCATTTTGATCATTCATAAAGAGTCAGTGAATCTTTTGGTCCTTCAAAGTATAAAAAAGGTTCCATGACTCTTTATGAAGGATCAAAATAATCTCCAATTATTCTTGATGGTCCATCTGACATTTTGGTCCTTCATAAAAAGTCAAATGACCATTTTGATCCTTTTCTCTTATTACCTTCATCTCTAATTGTTAAACTACACTAAGTGGCACCAAGCCATCAACCACCTCCACAACCTTCTTATAAAACCTCCCTATAATATTCAGGTTATATCATCAACCACATTCACATATATGACCATCTTTATGTCATCCTGAATATTACTTTTATGTTGCATTATATATTTTACTAAGAAAAGGACCATCCTGACTTCCTTAAGTAAGCTCCATGATTTTCGTGCATTATCTTATCTTATCTTAATTTTATTGTGTTGCCTCTAACTTCTAGAAAGAGGACCATCGTAATTGCACTCTACAATCTTTCTATTATGCCTCACCTAATAAATTTAAATTATGTTATCTAGACCTTAGAAGAAAGATCAACCATGTTATCCTTAGTTGTCTTTGTGACCATCTACATTTGCTTACCCACCAAACCTAAGATTATATTTCTTTCACCCTTAAGATTAGTGGGGTCAATTCGGGTCAACGGGTCGGGTTCGGGTCGAACCCGGAACTGACCCGGCACTATTCGGGTTAACCCGAACCCGACCCGATTTGGGTCCGAGTCAACCTAAAATTGCTAGTTTTCAAGTAAAAAATAGGGTCAATTTTTTATTTTCGGGTCAATCTTGGGTTTTCGGGTCAAATAGGAGTTTTCATGTCAACTTCGGGTCATTTTCGGGTTGCTGGGTCAACCCGAACCCGACACGATTTTTTAAACGGTTTGATTTGTTGAACCCGAACCAGAACTCGTTTCGGGTCCAAGTTGACCATAACCCAGATTTTTCCGGATCGGGTTCGGGTCGTGTTTCGGGTTGTGTCAAAAATTGACACCCCTACTTAAGATATAGTTCATATTGGCCATCCTCGTTGACTTGCTCAACGTGGATTATCCACCACATTCAGTTCATGATACTGATTTTGCCCCCTTAGAAGGATTGCTTTGCTTTGACATTTGTGTCATCAATATTTAATATACTATTAACAATATTCTTTTACTTGTTATGTATTGACAAATCTCTAAGTCTAAGGAATGACAATTCTATACCATTTATATATACTGTATATGGAAACTATTTTAATTGGGTCAAGTCCTATAATTTTCTCTTATAAAATAATATGTATATTATTCATTTCATTATACTCTTTTGATTTTGTGTAATTGTGTTCATAAATGAAGTAATTAAACCCCTACTCTCTATTGGCACAACTTCTAGTATTTAATAAATTTTTTTATCTACATATTCTATATTTTTTGTGTTGAACTAGCTTGTTATAGAAAATGTAAAGAAGAGAAAATTTGCGAGGTCATTTATTTATTTTGTAATAATGATAGAGTACCATCAAAAGTTATTTAATGTGCTTTAAAGAAGAAAAGTATTTGGCCAGTAAATATTGATGTTATTAAAGATATAAATGTAAAAACATTTATATGGAAAAATTATAAGAAATAAGTTAATTGATAATTATATTAAAAAATAATTTGAGGTAATATTTATTGAAGGAAAAAAAATTAAAATAGACATAGATGATTTGAACATATATGATAGAAGGATTAAAAAATAAGCTTATGAGACAAGTTGATAAAATTAGTATCATAGAATTATAAAGGAAAATAGCTATACGTTCGAAGGTTTCTCGTGGTAGGGTCGTCGTAGATGTTGATTAATTGTTTGTTTCCTGTTATTTTTGTTGTGGTTATCACAAAATTTCGTCGTCGTTTACTGTTTTGTTTTGGGGCTATGATGTGGCTGGGGTTCGTGCCCTCTTCGATTTGTTGGTGGCAACCTTTGGTGCTTATTCACCTCACTGGATGGTCCGTGCGAGCCGGTGGGGCACTGGGATCTCGGCTTAATACTGAGCCCACTATCAATGTATTTTATCTATTTATTTCTGGTTGGCCTTTTCTTATTGTAACCGTCTATTTTTATCAATATATTTGTTTTTGATTAAAAAAAAATGATTTGAGAAAAATTAATTTAGGATCTTAGAAATTACTTACTAAAAACTAATAAAAATGAAGATTCATAATACTGACTCCAAACAATTGTTGGAATTTGGGTGATAATATAAATTATATCATATTTATTTGTGAGTAAAAGATAATATTAGTGCAATTTAAGTGTCTTTTTAAGAAAGTATTTAACATTTTTTGTTAGGTTATTATATTATTTAATTTTTGTTAATTAATTGTAAATCTATTTTAAATTAAATATTTTTTAAAGTTTGTAAGCAATTAATATATTTTTGAGTATTCAATGAGAAAATAAGGAAATTGACATTAGATGATTAAATTATAAAAATTATAATAACAACAACATCAAAACTTTATCCCTATGTGGGTCTGAATCAAAATTATTAAAAAAAGAAAATTGAAATGACTTTTAGGCTTCATTTGAACAACTTTCTTGCCATTAATAAATTTTTGTACTATAATTTTTTTAACAAAAACTGTAAGAAAGTTGTACCGAATGGCGTGTTAACGCGACACCTGGCATTCTACTTTACCCGATACCCGACCCGGCGGAGAGTGGGTATATGGCACGTGCGAAATTTAAAAATGACGGCCCGACCAACGGACCCGAATATTATAGCGCGGACCCGAAAAAAACTGCTTTGTTTTCAAACAAACTATACCGTGCCTTCATCTTCTCCAACCGGCACTTCTTCTTCCATTTCAGTGAAGTTTCTAGCCCTGCATTTACGATACCTCAGGTTAGTTCCTTCTTCTTCCATAATTATGTTAGGGTTTACCGAGCGGTAACGAGCAGTTTACCAAGCGATACTGCTTCGGTATTAACCTATAATAGTAGTTATAGCTTGGTTAACAGCTCGATAGAGCTTGCTACCGAGCTCTACCGAGCATTATTAAAGTCGGTATTGCTAGGTATTTGCCGACAATGGTCGGCAAAATACCTATAATTGGTAGCACTATTCTTCTTATGTAATATTTAGGGTTAAGGTTTACCTAGCGGTACTGCCATGAAAGAACAGAATGAGTTAAGAGGTACCGAGCATTGATCGGTACTGCTCAGTATTGCTTGGTACCGAGGCGCAACGAGCATAAAAATTAGTCGGTACTGCTCGGTACTGCTCGGCATAGTCGGTATTGCTCGGTATTTGCCTACAATGGCTGGTATTAGTCATTAATGGCACGTTACTGCTCGGTGCAACTCGGTACCTAACTGTACCGAGCATTACTAACACTCTGTACAGCTCGGTATTCTCCCTTAATAGTACGTATAGGCTAATCTAAATGCTCGGTATTGATCGGTACAGATCGGTACCGAGCTATACCGAGCAATATTAGGACTCAGTATTGGGCGTTATTAGTTAATAGCAGTACTAACGATTGATTTTACGCAGGGATATACTCCAAAGATTCATTTCCGATGCCGGACTTCGAGTTTTAGAGAAGTTTGTAATGTGCTTGTTAAGAGGTTTGGAGATCCTTTGGTTGATATACTGCGTCAGTTACAAATCAGCCAGTTCCTCAACCTTCCTCTTATGCCTCAAAATGTTCCACTTATACATATGCTATTATCGAAGTGGGATTCGCTTTCCTTTGCATATCAAACTTGTCTTGATTAATCTTCCACCGACAATTTTTTCTTCATCTCTGCTATTCTTTTGGTGTTTCAGGGCAAAATCTCAACTTCTCGCCTCGTTACATATGATGCCTTACTCTACTGTGTTGAAGTTTGTGCTAACTGCAACCTTTTGGTGCACCGCTTACGCTGCCCTAGCTATTCTGTCATTTTGGTTCTTCTAATCATTCTTTCGCATTCCATATCGGACTTTCTTTAATCAGTTTGGCTATTTACAATGGGTTATGCTCAACTGGTCATCGGTCCCGCTGGAAGCGGCAAGGTAGCGATCGCAAAGATGGGCATTGCTCCTTGCTTTCTTTTATGTTCCTTTTTGGTTGCTAAATTTTGACCAATGAGTTTTCTGGTCAGTCTACTTACTGCTCTAGCTTGTATCAACATTGTGAAGCCTTGAGGAGGACAATCCATATAGTGAACCTTGATCCCGCTGCAGAACACTTCGACTATCCTGTTTCCACGGGTACCTTCAATTTTGAGAGTTTGTTCATGTTTAATGATATACTATGATGAACTTCTAATCACAATTTTATGTATACAGATATTAGAGAACTTATATCTTTAGATGATGTAATGGAGGAACTTGGCCTTGGACCAAATGGTGGTCTTTTGTACTGTATGGAGTATCCTTCTAGCTCTTAAAATATTTTAACGTGTCTTTAACTGAAGCTTGCTCGGTTCAGTACCTCTTGTGGTTTTTTAGTTCTGTTTGTTTACTGTGTTAGGAAAATGCCATATTGCTTGTGGTGCCTGTAATTCAGATTGCCTGGTCATGAATGTTTAATTTATTGTTTTCTCGTACTCAGAACACATAATATCTACATATGCATTTTTTCATTGGAATCTGTTATTCCTTAAAGTTATTCCAGGCATCTTGAAGATAATTTGGATGACTGGCTTGCTGAGGAATTAGAGAACTATTTGGATGATGATTATCTTGTCTTTGATTGTCCAGGTATTCTCTCAAACAAGTGTGGGCTCATTTGTCTTCCATTGATGTGCCATTGCACCACCCCCAAAATTGGAAGTTAGCAATTTTTATGTAGGGTGGGCAGTACAGCTACTCGCCGCTGTGTGGCCAAACAACATTTGCGTGCAGCCTGGTAGCGGGCATTGTTGGACCGCACATGGATCTTTGTGCTAAACAAACCCTTAAGCATAGTTTCACATGAGTTATTCAAATGTTTGCATGGTTTATTTACATGGCCTTGGTCAGAAACATCATTATTTAGATTTGGGATATTGTGAAGATAGGTTAAGGAGATAAGTGAGTTAAAGTTTTTTTTAGTTTCCTTTGGGAATCAATTTGTCTCATGTGCCTCATATCGATTAATATTTTTGGTAATATCATGGTGTATGTGAAAATTTTGATAATCAAAATGTAGAATATCATGAATTATCTTTCTCATGTAGTTGAGACCTTCAAAATGGCAATTTGGATTATTTCTTACAACGTGCAAATCATAAAATCCCCTTCTTTCTATGTCTTCAGAGCTTGATATATGTACCCACGAGATGAAAGAATGGAGTGCTTGTCATGTGCACAGAACTAAAAGCTGATTAACTCTTTCACAGCAAAGATGATAACTATCTAACACTTTTTCTTGTGAGCATGAAATATTGAATCATGCTAAAAGTCTTTTCCACATAAAGGATAAGGGAAATGATTTATATAAGTTGTGATAACACTTAGGAACTCATAGTAAACTTGTGATAATATTCATGCTGATGAAAAATACTCATGAATTTCATGTGGGTTTTTAAATTATTATTTGTGTGGATCATGGCTTCATATGGCAATGCATCATTTTATTTCCGTGTTATATGACTTTTCAGGTCAGATAGAGCTTTTTACGCATGTTCCGGTGCTGCGAAACTTTATAGAACACCTTAAGCGCAAGAATTTCAATGTGTGTGCTGTATATTTGCTTGATTCTCAGGTATGCTTCAATTTACTTTTAAAATTTCATTTTATATCCCTTCTAGCTAATGGTTTTGACATTTTTCCACAGTTCATAACTGATGTTACCAAGTATATAAGTGGCTGCATGTCATCTCTCTCAGCAATGGTTCAACTGGAACTGCCTCATGTGAATATTCTTTCAAAAATGGACCTTGTGAAAAATAAAAAAGATCTTGACTAGTGAGAACCATTACCAATTTTTTATTTTGTGTAACCGTATGTTACCCTGGATCTTACTTTCTTCTTTAATTGATACCAGTTACCTTGAACCTGAGGCTCGGGTTTTACTATCAGCGTTGAACCAGCATATGGCACCTCAGTTTGGAAAGCTAAACAAAGCTTTGGCTGAATTGGTATGTTTTAGAAGCCAAAAATGCCCTTTATAAAATTTTTCGTTTGATTAATTTCCTTTTAGGCTTTTAGTTTGTAGGCTGCTAAATGTAATATTTTTCTTTTTAAAATTGAATTTGAGACTGCTGATCTAATTTTGTTGTCCTAATGGCTGATTGAGCGCGAGATTAAAATGATCATTCATTATTCCTAGGAATTAAAGATATAACATTAGCTTTCAGCCATCCAAAGTTGGTAATATTCAAAGCAAATATAATTTGAATTTTGAGTAAGGAAATCTATCCTCGACGCGGCATCATGTTTTTTGATATTTACAACTCTAAGAACTCTTTAATTCCGCATAATATAAATTTAGCTTTCTGGAATTCTTCGACTGTTAATTTACATTTGATAATATGCATCTCTTTATGATAATGTGTAATCTTACACGCAAATAGCATAGGAAAAATATATAATGATGTAATTTTTGTGTGACGTCAACATGCTATCCAAATTAACAATTCAAGAGCTATTGTTAACTTGAGGGGCGGTGTTATCAGGCATGTGATGAGGTGCACTCTGTTCCACTAATACCTGCGGCACAACAACCTTTCGTACTTGACTTAATCCTAGGTGTTCCTCATCTGCACATATCATCTAGACCATTGGTTAACATATAGCATGTAATAGTTAAGACTTAAGAGGTAAGATATACAATGAGTTTTGTTGTGCATTGTTCTGCCTTCTTCTTCTTCTCTCCTTTCTACAGGTACTGAAGTTCATCAATAAAGTAGTCGCTAGATTAAGTGTGGCAAAAATGAGATGGTTAAGATTGATGTGTGGCAAAGTTATGAATGATAAATTAAAAAAATAATTGGAGTGATATCTATTGAAGATAAGATAAATAAAATTAAATGTTGATGATTTTGAAAATCACAACAAAATGTAGAAAATGCACCTATTAGATAAGTAGGTAAAATTAGTATGCAAGAATTAAAAAAAGGAAGTGATAGACCTAAGGTGATATAGATAGATTTTTTTTAAAATTATTAGTGAAGAATAGTTTTAACATCCTCATCAATGCGCAATGGTACTGAATAAAAAATGAGCATATTTATAAAGTTGACTCCAAATAGTTGAGATAAGGTTGATGATGATAATTCTTAAATCCATAACCCTCCAGCATCACTTGATCTTTTAGTAATATTAACTCATAATTATTAGTTTTAAACCTACTCAAATTGCGCATCATACACTCAATCTTAGTGACGAATATAGGGATAGAGGTAGAGAGAGGGGAGGGGGAGAGAGAAAGAGAGGTTATCCAATTTTGATCTAGCCAGTGTTTTACTAATTTATCACCGTTGATGCTATTTTCTTTATACCTTTAATTAGTAAAGCAACTGAGATTTGTTTTAGGACGGCCGGGGGGATCTTCTACATTTATATGACCAAAGATTATACAGATAGATGACAACTTTGATTGTTCTTTCCTCTATGGTTTTTTTTTTAAAAGTTCTAGGCACGAGATGGCATGAAGCATCTGCAAACTGCTATTGCATTATAAACATGTTATTTTCTGGAATATGTGAATCTTTGAGTAAATTCATTATAAATCAATCAAAAGAGTACGGTTATATAAGCATAAATTTTAAGAACATGATTTTAAAGTTTGATTTTATTTTGTTTTTTAACTAATAGTGTTGTTGATATTTTAGTATTATATGTCAAGTGAAATTGTTTGATTCTTTGCTATCTTGAGAAATGTATTGCTATCTTGAATAATCAATGTTGATTCTAACATTTCTTTTCTTACTCATTTCTTTTATTTACCAAGAATGAGCTAATATAGATAGGGTTCAACTACCTGCTATTTAATTAACTTAATTTGAACTACTAATGTTATTTTATTCACCGCAATATTGGGAATAGTGCCAAGTCAATCACCTTTTAATATTTATCTAAATACTGTTACGTTAACAACATTGAGCCATACGGTGAAGAAGTAATATTTAGTTTCTGTGAAATAGTAACTAGGATGGCTTTTATAAGGGGTGGTGTTTTTGCATATTTTAGATACAGATTGTTGTAGTATATCTGTAAATAGCTATTTCAGGTAATTACTGCAGCATCGTTTCTAGAATGAGTGGATCTTGGAACCAAAATCTTGTTATTGAAGTGTTTCTTTGATCTGCAACAACAACAAGCCTTTATCCCGCTATAATGGGTCGGCTACATGAATTATTTTTCTCCATTATGTTCTGTTAAGAGTCAAGTTCTCATTTAAATCTAATAAATAAAAGCCATTTCTAATATTTTCTAACCAAGTCTATCTTTCTTAACATAAGCCAAATCTAATACATCTACTCTCCTAATATGGTTATCGGAAGGCATCCGTTTTGTGTGACCAAACCATCTAAGGCGACTCTCTCTAATCTTATCTTCTACTAGAACTATTCTAACCATTTCAAGTATATGCTGTCCACTATCTGTTATTCATTTGATCTTTTTTTTCCATGAACTTTTTTGATCTGATGTTGGGTTTGAGACTGCTCCAGCGATATTACTCTGCCTTCTGTTTAAAATGTGAAAGCAATATAACTTTTCATCATGCATTTCCGTAAAAACTTTCCTAGTATGCGTGATCTGTTGCTCACTATAATAGAAGTGTAAAAAAATTAACTGCGGTTATGCAACATTAAATAGGCTATGTAGTTCTTTCAATGTATATATAGTCTTACATTATTGACTGTTCATCTTCTAAAAATAGTATTCTCTCTTTTGTTTTCTGTAGGTTGATGAGTTCAGCATGGTGAATTTTGTGCCACTTGACCTCAGGAAAGAGAAAAGGTATGTTTATTCTTCTTTGCCAAATTCAGCAACTCACACTCTAGTAGTCCACCCTTACAGCAATCATTTGGATATCTTGACTTACCACATATTATTAGTCATTATTCCTGGCAAATGGTCGTTGATGATATGCAGCAAATTGAAATTAGTTTTGGGCGTTGATTTTTATTTGTTTTGGCTTTTAATCTGGAATGTTAGATTTAGGCTTTTTTTGGGGCAGTTTTTTTGTTGCTTTTTTAAAACAAATTTCTAGTACGAAAATTTTATGCTAGAAAGTTGTTTTAGGAAGCAGTATGAAAGTTGGCATGCATTAATGCACTTGAATCTAACTTCTCATTTGCTATTATCCTTTATCTAAATTTGCAACTGAGATTGTAGATTTAACTCTTAATTAATAGGGCCTAGTTTGTTTTGAATGAAGTGAATGTTAAGTGCTGTTTGGAAGTGACTTCATAAAGATTTGAGGTTGAATTCCTTGCAATTTATTACGGGAACTAGGCATTAATACCCTACCGATCAACTATGTTTACAAATGGCTTTGCAAAATTAACTTAATACAAAACATATTGACATTGTTAGAAACTTCGTGCATTTTATACTTGTACTTTGTTTTACTGTGGGAGAATTTGCTGTTAAAAACAGCTGGTACTGCATTTTTAATCGTTAAGATCTAATTTATGCTGTATGGCTGATTGAAATGTAAGATGCCATCTTCCTGTAGTTGCATGGTACAAACAAGGAAAAATCCAAATTGTTCAGCTGAGAGCTCAATTTTGGCTTCGTTTGGAACAGCTTTCTTAATGCTTCTTAAAGCAACTTTCTAGAATAAAATTTTTATTTTTTACTTAAAAAGTTGATTTAAAAAATAGTGAGAAAGCCATCCCAAACAAAGCCTTAGTAATCAAAGCTTATCTTATTATAAATATGTACACATTCTGTACCTGTACTGATTCTCCATTTATTTTTAACTAATATATTCTGTATGGTTAATATCCTAAAGCAACATATTATTATTATTATTTTGTTTGACATGTGAACAAGTTTGTAAATTGATCATCTGTCCCCATCTTTAGGGTCCAACTATTTTTTTATCATTCATTTTTATTTAATTTTTGCAGTATACAGTATGTGCTGTCAATGATTGACAACTGCATACAATATGGGGAGGATGCTGATGTGAAAATTAGAGACTTCGATCCTGATGCAGATGACTAAGCTGCAAAAGAGGAGCAGATAAAATGCATTATATGCTGTAAGCACTATACTTTCTTTAGGTGGATAGCCTCATAAATCTTTGCCTGTTTCAATGGTACCAACAACTATTATTGGATTTAGCTTATGTTTGTGTTGTTTTGAGACAATGCAATAATCCAGTTTTTGGTGAAAGATGAGCTTTGGTTCGTAAATGAAAAGTGAGATTGTTGGCGATATGGATAACAACTTGATTGTTACAAAATACGACCGTATTCGCAAATGAATCAATCCTAGTAGAGCAAGTGCTTGTTCATATTTGAGTTCATTTATTAGGCAGCATGTTCGAGTTTTTCTATTTGTGTTCATGCTTGCTTTATACTCGGTTCATATTGTGCTTATCAAGCTTTAAACTAGCAGCTTATATTAAACAAGATAAGCCTTATTGGTCTTATTCACGAACAATTATATTGAGTCTTATCGAACCTATTAACAAACATACCTATCAAGTTTTATCAAGCCCATAAATGAGCCAACCCATCAAATTTTTTTGAGTTTAAACGAGCATATTAATAGCCTCTTTATAAATAGAATTAATTTAATAGATATTTATAGTTTAATCTAATTAATATATGTTATTATGTTAATGAGTTTTAAGATTTATCAACTAAGGAATAATTATGACATTATTTTATAATAAATGTAAAGTATTTTAATTAATTTGTTCATTGTTTTTTCAGAATAAGACTTAATCGAGTTTCTTAACGACATTATGCACGAATTATGCATCAATCATTAATCAAATTTCTTGACAAGTTTTTTTTTTTTCGAGTTTATTCATGAGTTTTAAACGGTCTTCTTCATGAATGTAAATGAGTCAAATATTTATGTTCAAATTTATTTATTTAACAATTGAGTATTTTAAAATAGCTTATACGTGTTTGAGTAATTAAAAAATCGATCATGAACGAGCAACAATTGAACCGAGTTACTAAATTTTCATGTTCTATAAAACATTTCGGACGATAAAAAATTTCTGAAGATATATATTTCTTTGCTTCTCACAATCTTTATTAGAGCTTCTCTAGCCGAACTGCAGTCGCGTGTATGGAATGGCTTTTTGCTCCTATGGATCGCCAAAAAATACGTCAATGGCATGCGGATGAACAGTCCGACGCCAATATGCGTCGGACTGTTCACCTACGCCAAAAAAATCGCTTTATTTTTTCGCTTCGCGGGAAAGGCGCGAAACAAGAGAGCGCCGGAAAGAAGAGAAATGTAGTTCCATTGGAGATGAATTGCGGCATTTTGAAGTTTTCCGCCATTACAGAGTGAAAAATGGAGTATTCGGTTGGAGATGCCCTTATAGCAATCCTAACTTTTTAATCCCATCTTCTTCGGTTGTGAAAAACAAAATTCTATAATTTCAAATATATAGTGGATTGATTTGATTGAGTCGGACAACATGATTTTTAACCTTATCGGGTTCCTTGCATAAAAATCACTAGCAATGCTTACTTTTTTTTTTCTTTTTTTCTGTGTTATATCATGGTACAAAGTTAGAACATAAAACTCTCTCTTATCTCCCTAAATTTTCTATCATGTAATATTTATCATCTTTTAACCTTAAAGTTTTTTAATAAAAATAATAAGAATGATTAAAATTAATTAACTCTTTCATATATATTTAATATTGTAAGTTTCATAGAATTAGTGTCTATTTTAAATTATTAGCTTTAATTTATTGAGATTAATTTTAAAATAGAAGAAAATTGTTGATGCTAAAAATTAAAATATACCTCAAATATAACGCTTGGTGCCCTGTGTTCTTCATTGGTTAGATTCCAATGCTCTCGCGATGCTTATGCTTTCTGTTCTAAGAATCAGGTTACTTCAATGTAAATAGGTGGAGGTCATTGAAGCTGAATTTAAGAGGCGAGTTTTGATGTTACTATTTATTTTGTAATAGTATATTTCTTCTGAATGTAATAGGTGGAGGTCATTGTTAATCGTTTGGTTCCTCTACTCCTTTTGTGTAGTATAAAAGCGGTTATTGAGAGAATGAAATTTTAAAAATGTTGTTTAATAAATTGATGGCTATTTGGTTAGATTGTTTTTGGCATGATTATGCGAATCTAAAAACATATTTAAATGGTTTGGTTGTGTTATGAGCTTTGGTGGATGAGTGGATTTACTCTTAGAGACACGATACGAAATGAACATATACGTGAAAACTTAGAGTAGCTCCAATGGAAGATAAGATTAGAGAGAGTTGCCTTAGATGGTTTACATAAAACAGCAGCCTTTCGATGGGCAAATTATTACGTCCGGTGTCCGGATTCGTCTAGACACCAATCCAGACGCGCCACGTCACCAAAATACACCGGGTCCCAGTGTATTTGGGTGATGTGGCGCATATGGATTGAATGTCCAGACGTCCGATGACCGGACGTAATAATTCGCCCTTTCGATGACCCGGTTAGGATAGTAGATGTATTAGATTTGACTTATATTAAGAAAGCTAGATGTATACCTTAAAAGACTTAGTTAGAAATTATTAAAAATGATGTTTCTTTATTAGATTTAAACGAGAATCTAACTTTTAACAAGACACAAAAACTTGTTGTTGTTGTTGTGTTAAAAGTTTTAGCGTTTTAATCATAAAAGATTAAATTGTCCTTATTTGGGCTACAATGTGTTTCTTTTTCATCCTCCTCCCATTAACTTCAAATGATTATTTATCTGTACAATAATAGTAATACTTAAGGATTAAGAAGCCACTTTCACCTATTTTCTAGCTCTATTCCAGGCAATTTAAGCTCTTATATCTTTGGTTTTAAAAGCTCATTTCTCATCCATAGTTTCAAAAAATGCTTCACCAAAACTAACATTATAAAGGCAAAAATTTGAAAAAAAATGATGAAAAACCTATCTTCCAAACATATGTCATTTTTCACTAACTTCTTTTCTTATTGGAAAAGCAGTCGAAAAAGCTCTTCCAAACAAAGCCTCTATCAAACAAAAGAATTGAAATATTTTCAAAAGTGAATTCCCATCTCTTACCTCCAAACAAACAAACCTAAAACTTGACAGAACATTCTGAATCTGTGCAGTAATAATAATGTTGATTGCCAAGTTCAAATAGTTCTAACATAACATACTGATAATTAAAATAGAACAAGTTGCAAATAGTGTACAAAAGATCACATACTAAATGCAATAAATTTAATAATTAGATAAGAGTCTGCTTCTATAGTTCTATATACCTAAAAAGGATAATCAAAGAGCAACAAGCGAAGCCTGAAACCGTGAAGTGAAACCAAACAAACTCCTTGTCCCTGAAAAAGCTTCCTTCAATTTCTTGAACTCAAAAATACTGCCACTTTTCTTGGAATCCTTGATAAACTTCTTTAAGATAGTATTCTCTTCCTTCATAATCTCAACTGTCAATGAGAGCTCTCTGATTACATGCCTCTTCTCCTCATCTTTCCTGTCTAGTTCAGCCATGAGAGTCTCCTTCTCCATTTTGAGACTTTCAACTTCATTTGTCAGCTTGGCCATATTATCAACAATCTTCTCAAACAGCTCTTTGGTTTCGAGATCTTCAGACTTGTGATCTTCTAATTCGCCTTCGAAAATGGTTTCATTGCCTTCATAATGGCAAGTTTTTTCACACTCCTTTGAATCAAGAAGATCTGATGGAGGCATTGACAAGGATCTTGTGTTCCTGGAGCAAACCACTAATCCTCCATTTATGGACTTATCATTCTCATTTCTGAAAGGTAGCTCCATCAACTTGATTTCATATTGATGCTCAAAATCATGATCATTATTCTCCATTTGCTTGCTTCCAAAAGAATAAGAGATCCTCTTTGAAGACAGGTTGATCTTACCATCGATTTCAGCTTCTGCTGTTACAGAGCTATAAAAGATTAGGGGTTGTTCTGTGGATTTGGCTTCTAGGTTCCTCCTAATGTCTTCAAATTCTTCATTCTCCATTTGGTCGCCTTCTTCTGGCTCAGGATTGTCAACTTCAGAAACCTCAGATTCAGGATAATCATCCACCTCTGTTGAATCCCATGTCTTCTGAGAAATGCTTTGATTTAAGGAATCAGTCTTGAATAATGTCATGCGTCGGGTTCCTACTTCAGATCTTAGTAGTTCAAACTGCTCAGCCACGTAGCGGTAAGAGCGATAGAAATCCTCGATCATATTCACCAGCTCTGGCCTTTTCCTGTAGTACATCTCTGCACGCTGCGCGAACGAATCGGCATCTCCTTCGATCAGATTTAGTATCCCTTTGATCTTATTTTCCAGTTCTGTTTGATTTAAGGAAAAGTAAAACCCAATTATGCAAATGCTTCTCAAAGAACTGATAAGAATATTTGAGAAAGTGAAACAAAATCGAGGGTAGATGCATCTACTGGTATTATGAAAAGGATCTCCATGAATGGATAGATTCATTTGCAGGGATTGAAAATTCGGTAAGATACATATACATGATGTTGACCAGCTATTTCTGTTGTAACTTTCTTTCAAGACAAGAAAAGTTCCTGAACAATTGAAATTGCAATCAGAGTATTTCAGATAAAGGTTTTGTTTGGGACGACTTATGTACTGCTTCTTAAAGCAGCTTCCTAGTATAAAAATTTAAATTTTTGTACTAAGAAGCTGTTTTAAGAAGCAGTAAAAAAGCCGTCCCAAACGAAGCCAAAGAAATGTTAAACATGCTGATAAAAAATTCACCAAATGGGCTACATTGACCTTCTTCCCTCTCCTATAAACAAGTAACAATATGATGATATATGATAGAAATGTTATTTGGGCCCAATTCAATGAAGATTTAGGCCTAGCTCTCAATGTGTATCATTTCTCTTTTAGAAATAGTTCAAAAACATGGCATTAGTTCATGCAGAATGAAGAAAGCAATTATCCTCTTAGTATGCCTTGTTAGAAGTGTTAGGCTTAGTTTGGGACAACTTTTTTATTGCTTCTTGAAGTAACTTTTTAGTATAAAAATTAAAATTTTTTGTACCATAAAGCTAAGCATGGCACTAGTTCATGCAAAACGAAGAAAGCAATTATCCTTTTATTATACCTTATTAGAAGTTTTAGGCTTCATTTGGGACGCGGCTTTTTTATTACTACTTCTTAAAGCAACTTTTTAGTATAAAAATTAAAATTTTAGCCAAACATGCAAATTAAGCACACCTATTCACAATCTACATACATGAAATCACAGAAGAGTAGATAGACAAAATTATATTAATACTAGCTCATAACATGCAAATTGATTATACATAATCACAATCTACCAACCATCAATCAGAGATAAGTGAGTAAATGATAGTTCAGCTTTCACTAATTATAGCTTGTTATCTGATTATACTTTGTGAGTATCTACTATCCACCAATTAGAGAAGACTTTCTTTAGTAACGTAGTGCCGTATTTATTAGGGAATGAATCAAAGGAGACCAAAGTTCGGATTGATAAATTAATGGTTAAAACCCATTCTCAACACAAAAATTTAGGCCTATGAGCGAGGGAAAATTGTTAAGTATTTCTACACATTTATGTTTTTCTATACTTCAATATTGTAATAAACTCAATGCTTCATGTACTTTAACAATTTCTCACATACATGGAAGCTTTACAACCGAAGACCAATCAGAATGAGCCACGTCAGCAATACTGAGCACGGTACCGAGAAGTATCGAGCCGTAGTACTGACGTGACTCATTCTAGTTGGTCTACGAACGATGTTCAGCATCCGCACAGAATAATTTCTCTGAAGGAGCCTTTTATTTTCCTCCATTGTAACATGGAGGTCGTGGGTTAAAGTCACAAAACACAAATCTACAACTGCAGGGGCAAGGCTACATAAGCCCATCTATCCCTAGATAAAGCAGTGATAGGAGCTTCAGGCATTGGACTATTTGCTCTTTTTCTAGTGACGATGAGATAGTACTAAAATAAAAATATGAAGGTCATAACAGAAAAGGAAGGGATCACTGCCATCTATGAACAAATAAACGTTTTGGAAGCAGCTTCTTAACAAACAACAATAAGACTTACCCTAAAGAAACCAAAAATAGTTTTTATTGTCAAGGGAGACCGAAACAAGTTCTTACACTCGTTGTAGCAATTGGTTTTTCTCAAGTAAAATTTAAGAAATAAGATTTGAAACTAAAACACAAAACCTGTAAGAGTTGACTGTAGCCATGGAGAGCGCTTTGCTGAATTATGGCTGTCAAACCACCAACACTGCGATACCTTCTTGAGTCCTACCATTTTTGCTTCCATATCTGCACCAGCGGTTCATTATAAGTAAGAGAAAGCTTGTATTCCATATGCCAAAACATCATAGATAATGATAAGAATCTAACATATAATGCATAACCATAAAGTTTAAATTTTCAAATTTTAAGGCATTGTTTGCTTCTACTTCCATTCTCTGCTTAGTTTTTTGACAAAGAGACTCAATTTATATCTGAAATATGGTTAGGGCATCTCCAACCGAAAATCCCATTTTTTCTCCAAAATGTTGTGATTCATCTCCAATCGAACCTCATTTTATGTGCTTATGCGAAGGTAACCGTCTTTCTCCTCTTTCACGCGTTTCTTTGGCAAATCCGATTAAGACAAAAAATGGCGTAGGTGAACAGTGCAACGCCAACCAATTAGCAATTTTTTTTCCGTTCGAATGGAGCAAACCAGCTATGCGTTACAGTCATTTGGAGTTCGGCTGGAGACGCCCTTTAACAAATCACTATTTTGCATGTGCACCTACTCTCTGCCTCGTCGTTAGAATATTTACTACTGAAACAATTCATGTTTCTATGCCACAGAATATTTATCTAAAATAAAAAACACCTGCACAGAGGCATTCTTGAGAGAGAGAATCTAAAGGACAAAGGCATTTAGCTATGCACCAAACTAGAAATTGAGCATTCTACCTCAAAAAAAAATTTTTTTTTTTTTGCTAATTTTCAACTTTTTCTATGAGAATCAAACAAAAGCTCTTAGCATGAAACTGTTGAAAGGCTGGAATGGCTTCAGAGCCGTTGCAACGAGCAAGCCATTCAATGAGGAAATAAATGATTTTGTTACCGTATGTTACAATATTATATTATGATGATTGTCTAATTGAGAAAACTGAAAGCAAATTTGGATTTTTATTGCGCTCTGAGCATAAATAATAGTCAATTTATATCAATCTTTACAAATAAGCAAACAAATCAAATGTCATTGTTAGATGTTTTTTTTTAATAAGTATTTTTTTTTGTGTTGTACAAATAATATTAAAGAATAAGATAATCTTTCAAATTTGAATTCATAGAAAAATTCTGACCAAAGCAAACAGCAAACAGCAAAAGTCGTAAAGTGGGCCCCACGCCTAAGTAGCAACAGTTACTGGCCCGTTTCCTCTCACCGTGATTCGGGCGGGTCAGCTGATCACTTCCAAAATTTCCGCTTCGGTTTCAAATCCCGAGCAGCCTCTTCGGTTTCAATCCCATAGCCCTTAAAATAACCGAAAGCATATTCCGTTCAAAATTTAAAAATAAAAGAACAGAGGCGAATTTAAATCACCAAGAAAGCATCGAAGGCGCCAAATCGAAGTGAAAAAAAATTTAATAAAGAAAGAGACGAATTGACGAAGAGAGAAACAGAGGAACAGAGCCGGAGATGTATCTCACGGTAGATGCCGAAGCTCTCAGAACTTAGTTCTCTGCTTTCTTCACTTACTACGCTAAGTGAAGCATTTGGAAAACATAGCTAAGATATCCAACTAAATGGGAAAAATACAAGAATTTGAAGGGATATAGCGAGTGTACCAGCAGGGATCCACGCTTCGTTGCTTCCGATCTTCTTCTCGCTCTTCCTCCTCTGCTTGGAAAGCTCTGTTTCTCGCAAAGAGTGAGGAAGAGAGGTAATCTCTCGTCCTTGACGCTCAGGTGCTGCCTTTTCAAGTATTAGTAATGGCGGTTTCAGTGCATTTAGAGAGAGATAGAGGGAGGGAAAGGAATGTATACTTTTTTACGCTTCAGCGGATCTTCTGGTCTTCTCACCAGTCGAGCGCAGATCTCTTCGTGCGATTTGGACTACGGAGAACCCGAGGCTCGCGCGCGCGCTCTCTCTCTCTCTCTCTCTCTCTCTCTGCCCTCTTTATCTGCTGAGATACACTCATTTAACTACTGCTAATCATAGATATCTCTCTCTCCCCCGTCTACAGCTAAGAAAACGAGGTCTTCGTGCATTTCAAAACAGGCATTTAATTGCTCTTATAGTTGTGTTTATTTACGATCTTGCCAATCCTCAGGAAGGTGTTAATTTGGGTCCACAGGTCAGATTCGGGTCCGGTTTAATTGACACGAACAATGAATAGGTAACCCGGATCCAATCATTTATTATGTAGGTTAAAAATTAGATTTGGTTTTAAACCACATTGAGCATTAAAAATTAGAATGGGGGATTTACATACATACCACCAAATTCTAATGTATTTACATATATAACTTTTAAATTTATATTTATATATAATTTTTCTTTCTAAATCATATGAAAATAAATGCATGGAAATATGCATTTTTATTTAAATAAGCTAAAATTAATTATAGTTTTGATGTTAGTTAAAAATTTAAGTAAGAGACCTAAGTAAATATAAAAAATTTGTGTGTGAAATATATAAAAATTATATTTCATGTATGCAAATCCTCTTATCATAATAAGATTAAATTCAAAATTATTTGAACTCTGATTCTAATAAGCTTATAGGTAAACTGAATATCTCGCAGAGACATTCATAGGCACATCAACTGATTCGATTTGAGTGCAAATGAACCCAAATCAAGCACTTGAAGCACGTTTAAAAACTTCATAACATTAATTGAATAATCAAATGATCTATAAATCCTATGTGCTTATAGTTAAAATGAAAGACTTGATGACATCAATCCGATGAGATCAAGTTTATTTGATTCTAACATTTTTAAAGCACTCAAACATTGTAATATTGGATAATTATCCACGATCAAGGGGATTAATATAGAGCGTTTGACAAAGAATTTTGAATTCTAGTCACATTTATCAAAATACCCCTATTAAAAAAGCTATAAATCGAGTCTTAATTTTCAGCTAAATGAGGTTCAAGAGTTAAAAAACCCTATTGCAATATTCGACAATCACTACAGATGATTTAGCAGTAATTACTGATATAATCGTCTAACTTCTATCATTCGATGATTGTCACCTAAATACTAACACTCAACTATGTTATTGTATTTAAACATGACGGTTCAAGTTAACTATATTGGGTTGGACTCGAACCCAATCCGTCAATCCGTTTTGACTCCCCTAAGGGGAATAAAAAAAAAATCTTTTTTCATATCATGAATCTTAGCTTTTATTATTAATACTTTATATTCTTTGATAGATTGAAATGTTAAAAAAGTAATTGATAATTGTTGAAGATAAAAAAAAAAAAAAATTGTGTTTATTTTTTATTTAAAATAAGGAATTTGAGATTTGTATTTATGATGCACTAAATTTTAAAATTTAAATTAAGCTAAGGGAACTAAGATCTTTGATGTGCTAAAAGAAGATTGATGGAATGGTCACATAGATTCTATTACAATGAATTAGATTATGAAATTCATGAAATATATGTTTATTTTGCACAAATTTTAGTGTGATCAATTACTTATATATACTTTAAAGGAACAATACAATGTCCTTACCTAGTTACAATATGATCATTCTAGTAAATATCATAACATTTATAATTTAATGACTAAAAAAATTTACATAGCTCACAATGGTTCTATAAAATTGATGTCTTAGGTTGACCACGGGTTGGCTCGTTTATAACGAGCAAGTTGAGCAGAGTTCAAGTTATTACTTGCTAGAGTTTGAGCAGAGTTCAAGTTAATAATTTATAAGTCTGGGTTGGCTCGAGAGAAAATGATTATGACTGTAGAATAAATTTACAAAAAGGCGCTGACCGCCGCCGGACTTCATCTCAACCTTCGTCGGACCACCACCGTTTACCGCCAGACCTTCGTCGGATCGTTCCTTGTCAACCAAACTTCTGCACAAAAGTAACCGGATTTCCTTCCGACCATCATCAGACCTTTGACTAGCTCTTTAAATTACTGTAATCTAACCACCTCTAAATCGAGGGACGGGTCAATCCTTGTAATTCACTCAAGTTTAGTTGAATCTTTTCACCTGGGCGAGGCCCCGTGGTTTTTTCCTCTTTGGATTTTCCACGTAAAAAAAATCGAAAGCTAAGCAATAAATATCCGTTGGGCCTAAAAAGTAAAAACAATACTGAAAAAAAATCAAAATTCAAAATTGATTATATATTATATTATATTAAAATAAAATTAATAATTGTTGCGTCCTGGAGTATTCGAGGCAGTAGAGAAATATAAAGTTTAACGTCCTTGCGTTGTACGAAAATCCGGCACGGAATCAGATAAGAGAGAGAGTGTAGCATTCAAATGAGACACCAAAATTTTTACGTGAAAAAATCACGTGGCCTAGCCCAATTTGAATGAATCCACTATTATTCACAGTCGATTACAAATGAGACCCTTTTTTGGGGGAAGACTTTAGCTTGATGTACATCATATGGAGTACATTACATGGTAGGAATACAAAGAATCATTGTTGACGTGTTCGTTTAGTCATAAGGACCATAGTCTGGTGACGGAGGTCAGGAGAACCGTAGTCGGCAGGCGATGGAGGTCGGAAGGAAGGTAGTCAGTGGGCAACGTAAGTCAGGAGAACCGTAGTCAGAGGGCGACGGAGGTTAGAAGGACTGTAGTCGGTGGGCGACGTAAGTCAGGAGGACCGTAGTTAGCGGGTGACAAATGTCAGAAGGATTGTAGTCGGTGGGCGACGTAAATTTGGAGGACCATAGCCAGTGGGCGACGGAGGTTGGAAGGACTGTTGTCTGTGGGCTACGTAATTCTAAAGGACCGTAGTCGGCGGGCGATAGAGGTCATAAAGACCGTTGTCTGGAGATGAAGATCAAAAGGATTGTTTCAGGTAGAAACATCAATGAACATAAATCTAACATCGGATAGATGTTCGGCGAAAATCCGACAACAGGCATAAGTCCATCGTCGGGTAGAAATATGGCAACGAGCAGAGGTCTGTCGTTGGGTAGAAGTCTGAATTTAGTCGGCGGCCGGGGAGAGCTCCAGCGTTAGATGGGCTTCACTTGGGCGTTGGCAGAATTCTGGCGTCACTTGGGCGTCGGGCAGAATTCCGATGGTGGTCGAGGAGTTTTTTCCCTCATATCATTCTCTTCTTCTTCTTCTTGCTAGGGTCCCCCTCACAAGAGAAATGAGAGGATATTTATAGTTTTTTTAGGATTGCATGACCCGTAAATATGTGAGAGATCAGGGGTAAATCGAGAGTGGTTTGGATGAACGACCGATATTGAATCCCTTGATATTGGACCGTTCGTCAGACATTTAAGGGTCTTATGGATATCATAATTCGGCGATCTTAGGCTCGTTGGATTCGTCTCGTCGAGCCGCTTGATTCGACTTTAAGCATGTCATGTTTAGAACCGTTTGGTAATCCAAATTGTGGTTTGAACCTTCCAACAACACTTCAGATATTTAGTTCGGACTCATTTGGGCTCGGATTGATTGAATTTGGTGTCGTTGGGTTTATATTTCCGAGACGCTCAGTTCGACTATAAGTTTGCTGAAATCAGAGTTCATATGATCCCAGATTTAATTGTTGAAGTTTCCCACTTGATTTTTACCTCAAGATTCGTGCCCGATCAAAATAATTTTTTGATGACATATCAATAATCATAAAAGCTATTATCATAGGTTTTGTGTTCAAAACTCAGCGCGATGTTTTTTTTTCGCTCCGCTAGGGTTTTTTCTCCGCTAGGTCTCGCCGCCTTGTCTTCTCCGACGAGTTGTGTGAGCTTTCTCTCTCCGTTTGTGGGTCGGTTTTCCCTTCTCCTCGATGGCTTCAGTTCGTCTTCGCGATCCAGGTTTTTTATGTGGGGCTTCCTCGCCTTTATCTTTTAAAGATGCTTTATCTGGTTCTTCTTCTTCTTTCCCTGAGCTTAACGTATCTTCGCATCGTGGCTTACCGGCTTTATTAATTTCTGAGGATAAGTTGTGTTCGCTTGCTGCTCCTTTTGAGTTTGCTTTGGTTGGACGTTTTCCGGGTAGACGTCCATCTGTTGATGCGATTCGAAAGTTCTGTTTTAATTTAAAAATAATAGGGGATTTTTCGGTTACTGTTCTTAACCAAAGGAAGGTTTTGATCAAATTGGTGAATGATTTTGATTATTGTCGGATTTTCGCTTATAGATCCTATTTTTTTCAAAACTGCTATATGAAAGTGGTAAAATGGTCACCCAATTTGGATGTGGAGGTTGATTCTCCCATTGTGCCTATCTTGATTTCCTTCCCTCTTCTCAGGCCGCATCTTTTCTCTCCTAGAATCTTGTTTGGTTTAGGTTCGATTTTCGCCCTCTTAAGTTTGATATGGCCACGGCGTCAGGTTCCCGTCCGTCTGTGGCGCGTATCCTTGTTGAGTTGGATGTTACGAAAAAATTTGCTGATAAGGTTTGGGTTGGTTCAGCTGAATCAAGATATGTTCAGAATGTGATTTTTGATGAGATTCCTCATTTCTGTGGGCATTGTAGTTCTTTAGGTCATTCTAAGGTTCTATGTCCTATATTGCATCCTTCTGTTAAAAATATGAAAACTGTGGATGCCCAGCTTGGGATGCCGGAGTCGAACCCTGGTGAAGTGAATTTGGATATATCTGGTGAGATTAACGCGGGTTTAGATGCTGATGTACATAAGGTGGTGGCTGTCAATTCGGTGGCTGTTGAAACTATTTTGTCTCCTACTGCGGTTCCTTTTATTCCGGGGTGTGGGGTTGTTGGTATTGATCAGTCGGATGTGGTGGAGGCTTTGCCGGATGTTGTGTTGGTGTCGGTGGTAATGAATTGGTGGTTGCAAATTCTACTTTGCCTACGCATGTTCCTGTAATTTGTGGAGGTGATGTGGTTGTTGGTGTGGAGGACTCGGATCGATTGCAGAACAATTTCAATATATATATATATATATATATATATATATATATATATATAAAAGCTATTATCATCAAATTCATATAAAAATATTTTGAAGAATTTACATGCATATTAACATACTAGCCCATAAATGTTTTAATTATCTCTGCCCATCAATCGAAGAATATGAGGTTATAAAATTGGGAACATAACTAAATTTCTGAAGTTGTAGAATGGTAACGGCGAGCGATGCATGCGATCTATAAGAACATTGATGCCTACCAATTATGTTAATCTTCGTCACCAATATCATTAACACATGCCATCGTCTGTCTATAAGGATGATGCATGATATTGATAACACCACCTATCAAATTTGTTGTTTATCATCGCCAATAATGTCAATTCATTTCATCACCTATAAAGTCGATGCTTACTGTCGACGCCGTCATCATCGATGTTTATCATCTTTATCGTCTGCCATCTATTAACAACATCAACGCTCACCATCCCCTAATAAGATAGATGCATATTTCCAACACCAACTCTGATTCCATACATCAATACCAAGACATTATCTTCAAGATAACTTCGATTTTTTAAGGCTAAAGGTGTAAATAAGTTGAGTTGAGCTCAAGTCAAAGCTTCTTGAGCTTTTGCAATATAATTCATCATCCATAACATATAGACATTAATAATTTAGAACACCTGAGTGCAAAAACTCACAATCACTCAGCCAGATCTCCTAGCCTAGCCAAAATCAATCAAGCTATTGAGCAATCCAAGCATATTCCAAATAGAAGACATACTACAAAATTCATTAAAATATACATATATTACAATAGTCAAATTAAGGCTTCATTTGGAACAGCTTTTTTACGGCTTTTTAAAATGACTTTCTAATACAAAAAATTCTAATTCACGAATTTTTTGTATTAAAAAACTGTTTTAGAAAGCAGCAAAAAAATTGTCACAAACGAAGTCTAAATCACAAAAAATCAAAGATCTTTCAATACAAACCAAAAGATTCTCAACTGTTATAAGTTAAATACAAATTTTTATTAGCCATAAGGCCCATAACCAAAAGATCAGTTATCTCCACAATGAACTCAGCTTGAACATAGACCGTTAGTTCAATGGTGCAGACAGAAGAAGAGACCATGGGAGTCACTAGGGTTAAAAATGGCAGTTATTAGAGCAGCTAAAATAATAGCAGTATAACAAAAGAAGAATAGGACAATTGAATCTAATGATTTAGGGTTTAGGGAAATATGTATTAAGGTACCATGATTCAAACAAGAAATGTCTGATTAAAATAAAATAGAACATATTAAGGTACCAGAATTCAATCAAATAAGAGTGTTTAAATAGATATTGAAGCATAGGTATAACAAAGGAAAACTTTCCATCCTTTTAAAACATTTGTAGTTCTTTAAGTTGACTTAGCTTCCACAAGCTTTTCGATTAAATCTGCAGCTTCCTGCACGGTGGTGATGTTCTGAGCACTGTCCTCTTCCACGCTGACGCCAAATGCCTCCTCAAGGCCCATTACAACCTCAACCTACAGAAAGAATCCATTGATGGTATCAGATAAAGAATGTAAAAAATATCCTAAATCTATTTAGGAGAAGTTGCTTAAATAGGGAGAAGAATCACGACGATTTAAGGAAAATTAATAAGAAAAGGATCAAAATAGTCGATCAACTCTTTGTTAGGGATCAAAATAATCCCCAACTCTTTTGAGGGACTAATTGATCACTCGACTCCTTAAAAATGGTTATTTTTTTATCCTAACATCAAATCTTGAGGTTAATAGTGTTAAATCAAGATGTATTTTAGTCATTTCTTAATTAAATTATTTATTAAATGTAATTTCCAAATAATAGTAATTTAAAAAAAAATTATTAAACATTTCTTTAATAAAAAATTTATTAATAATTCTATTTTTTATTTAAAAAATTATTAATAATTCTAATTTTAATTTAGGATCATTATACACTAGAATTATTAATAATTTTTTTATTAAAGAATAGAATAATTTTTTTAAAAAAATACAATTACTTGAAAATTATATTTAATAAATAATTTAGTTAAAAATGACCCATATGCCTCCTGATTTAACACTATTAACACTAAAATTTGATGTTATGATCAAAATAACCCCTTTTTAAGGAGTTGGAATTAGGGACCATTTTGATTCATCACAAAGAGTTGAGGGACCATTTTAACCATTTTTTAGAAAATCAATGCATGGTGATGAGGATAAAATAAGTTTTAGAATTAGGATATTTACACATATAACATTAAAATTTTCATTATTATAGAACTAACACCCTTATCATTTTTTAATTATCAAATCTATATATTTTCGTGTCATAATCAAATTCTTGAGAATTTAACAAAAGTGAAAAATACAAGTTCAAATTTTGTTGTGAATTTTGACATTTGAATGAGAATTTGAAAAATAAAGGTAAAGCGTGTTAATTTTGTATATCAAATTGCCCTTTCAGAATTTTGTAGAATCTTATGCATTGGCGATAGGGTTGATTGTAAATGTTTAGATAGCCTGCTATAAAATAAGAGGAAGTGTTATGTAGTGCACATTAGTAGAGAAAATTAGATTTATTTCTAAGTTTATAAAGGGAGTACAGCTATTTACATAAGAAGAAGGAGAGGAAGAAGATGAAGTTATGAGTACCGTGTCAAGAGAATCCGCTCCAAGTGCTGCGAATGTTGATTCACCAGTGACAGAGGTGCCAGCAGGAAGAGCCAGCTGTGACTTCACTATGTCGCAAACCTTGCCAACCGTCTCTGGTTTAGCCTGCTCAGTAAGATTTCATCAGTTATACTAAATTAGCTGTACATGAATTGAAATTAAGTTGATAAAACTTAATTTCAATTCAATTCATTTACCATTCCCATTTCCTTTATTGCACTTCCTAGTTCCTTCAAACCAAACAAATCCTATATTTCACGCACTTGCAAATCAAGTAACAATTTGAGTAGACTGGACATGACTTCAGGCAAGGTAAGCACAAAGACAGGATGATATAATAGTAGACTTATGTTGAACCGGTCCAGCTGGTCCACACGGGACCTCCTATCGCGTAGGCCAATCGGGCCGCTGAATTCAAGAGAACTTCTTTGGAAAGATTAGTGGGGATTGGGAGGGAAATTTGAATGTAGGGACTATTTAGAGATTTTCTTTTGAATTGTATGCATTAAATAGTTTGTTTTCCTAGGGTTAGAGCATCTTGAATTTGGCTGAAATTTGAGATCTCTTAGTTTGTCTTGGGCTCTAGCGGCATCTAGAGATTGGAAGAGATCGATCCTCCTTCTGAATTGAGGATCAACTGTATCTTGCTATTTTTAGTTTCTATTTCATCAAATAATACAAATGATCTACTGTTTTCCTATTATGTGTGGATTTTTGTGGAGAATTCTCGCTGTTTTCCTAAAAATGATAGGAAATGCTTGAGATCAACAAGTGTTTCCTATCAACTTAATAATTACTAATAGGTAGAAGCCTTGAAAATTCATTGATACAGAATAAAGTGCTGTAAGTGAAAAACAAGCAGAATTTTACTTTTATGGTTTGCAAACCATACAATGGTTTCCTTCGGGTAGCAAATTTTATGAATTGGATCATTTTATGATCATTTTATGAACCATCAAATAACTATTGGTTGGTAGAAGAAGGCTTTGAATATTCTTTGATCCAGAATAAAGTACAATAATTGAAAAACAAGCAAAATTTTACTTGTATTGTTTGCTTTAACGGCTTTCTTCAACTATATGCATAATTTATGAATAGCAACATTTTATGAAGCAGCAAAAAAATACCTCATAACTACACGTTACTTTTTTTCAATGGAATAAATCTAAAGTTAGCAATTCATAAACATGCCAGCAAGTGAAGCTTCTACTTAATTAACGACACTAATTTATCATCTAATTCAATTCAAATTTATCCACTCTTAAAACATCCCTCGAAATTAATAAGATACCGTTAGTACAGCAACTAAGCACAAATCTGAATTCTGTTTTCCTAAAAGTTTTCAATAATAGTAGCATGGTTATAGAAGCTAGAATGACTTGAAAGCTAAGGAACGGCCTAGCAAAAGAACAAACGATAAACTGGTTCCTAAGCACAAGATTCAGTAATCAAACGAACAATAATCATAAATTAATGATAATTTAATACAAGCAAGTTAGGAAGTTATACAGCACAAGAAACATGGAACCCCATGGGAGCTGACTGCAACCGAACTGATGGGAAGTTTTTCCTTTGACGGGAGAAAGAAGCTAGTCTTAAGCCAGAAACTCCATTAAGAACCTGTACAGATAAAGAGTTTAGCTAAATAAAACTAATCATTGAGCTCTATTGTCAGCATATAAACAGAAAAATTAACACATGAAAATGTACAGCAATAAATTTCACAAAACTTCTTTCATTCTTGATCAAGCATATGGCAAGTAGTAGGAAATATTAGATTATGATATAATGATTTCATTTACATCTTCAAGATGAGGAACAAACATTCGAACCAGGTATTTTACAGTAAATACATATAGAGGGTGAGTTGCAGGTTCAGAAACCATGCCAGGATCTAATAGCAACATGCAGAAGATATTTTACCTATTCAGTGTTAGAGAAAAGGTTGAATTACTGAACAGATAGCTATGCAATAACTCTAACCTAAACTCCGTGATTTTATTATCAAGGATAGGATTTCCATGTTGCACTCTGATCTATTTTCTAGGCAGTTTTATTCAATCTAAAAAGGTATGTGCTTGATCATAGAACTACAACGAAAAGAATTATGCCTATGTGAATTATGATGTTGAAAGATGGAAGATTAGATATCCTAGATATTTTTCAGAGCATTGTAATACCACTACAACAACAAAAATAACAACAACAATATCAACATCAAGCATTTATCCCATAGTGTCATGTTAAGAGTCAAATTTTTATTTAAATCTAATAAAGAATGATCATTTCTAATATTTTCTAACCGAGTCTTTTTAGGTCTACCTTTACCTTTCATAACAAAAGCCAAATCTAATACATCTACTCTCCTAAAAGGGTCATCATAAGGCCGCCGTTTTATGTGATAAAACTATCTAAAGCGACTCTCTCTAATCTTATCTTTCATTGGAGCTACTCCAACCTTTTCACGTATATGCTCATTTCCTATCCTGTATCTAAGAGTAAAGCCACTCATCTAAAAGTTCGTGAGGGTTGTTAAACCTTAAAGAACTAACCCGAGTCAAACCAAGAGGGGGGATGAATTGGATATTTAAAAAATTCTTTAAGCCAAAAGAAAATCTTTTAAAACATTTTCAAACCCACACACGATAATCGACACAGCGGATACGGAAATAAGTAAATATCAAAACAACAAAATAAATCAGAGTTATCAACCACATAGATAATTACAGAAAATAAAGTGCGAAAATTAAAAGTGTGGAAATAACAAAGTGAATGAACACGCTAGAATTTATAGTGGCTCGGTCAACCTGACCTACGTCCACTCCTTGGAGACTCTCTTTCCAAATATAGCACTAAACAGTAGTGACTCTCCTTTTGCTCCCACAGCAAGGTGGAGAAGCCTATACAGACACTGTTTCACCTCCCAGGTGCGACAGAGAACAGTGACTTTTTATAGGCAGAGAACCTCAACTCTATTTTCACCCTCCTGGTGATGGTCAGAGAACCACAACTCTATTTCCACCATCCTGGTGATGGTAAAAGAACCAACACTCTGTTTTCACCCTCCAAATGACGGTCAGAGAACCACAACTCTATTTTCACCATCCAGGTGACAGTCAGAGAACCACAGTCTTTGCTGAAGAACTTTTTCTCTAGAGCCACAGAGAATTCAGACAGACTCTTGTACATACTAGGCAATATTCTTGCTTGGAGCAACCTTATGAATCACCTTACAACTTCTCCCTCACAAAATCTCCCTCTCTTCTCTCACTAAGCTCTCCTTCTTTTCTCCCTCAAAGCTCTCTATCCTAAAGTCACAACAGTCAAAGATTTTTTAATAGGAGTATTAGAAAACCTTAAGTAGTGGGCTTCAAGAAACACTAAATTTCAAGAGATCTGTCTTCTATTCGTATAGTACAATATACATATAATACAATATGATCAGTGTAATCCAGACTCGTCCAGCAAGATCGTTCATATGAACTGTTCAATTTTTATAATATAATCGTATGGTACGATCATAACATCGTATTGTACGAACTATAGAAATTCATTCTGTTTGTTTGAGACAATCCTTGGGATGACTAATTTCGTACATAGGCGATCGTCTAGCAATGTGGACATCGTACGGTACAATAAGTACAAAAATCATGGATTTCGTTTGGTATTATCCATGGGACGACCAATTTCATACACGGGTAATCATACAATATGAACTGGATCGTACATTTCGATCAATCACAATAATTGTCCATGATTTGATTGCCTAATATTGGAGGATTAATTAAGAAAGATTTTAATTAGAGTTACTTTTTATGTAATTCGTACTATACAATCAGTACGGAATTAGTATCTTTCCTAAACCTTTGGCGGTTAGGGTTTTGACATAGCGCAACATTTCATACAGTATGAATTACTTAAAAAAAATAACTCTCTCAAAAATATTTTTATCCCCCGTATGTGTGTGAAAGGTTACTCAGCAATGATATCCACTCAATTACATGATATGACTCAAGAAAAAAGAAAATACATAATAAAATAAAAATCGACTGTAACCCTAGTCCATCCAGTCTTGAGTTGATCATAATTATAAGTGAACGGTGAATTGATTTCCTGAAAATGTTAGTACACACAAACACAAAATAAAATATCATAGAAACAAGAGAATGCAGTAACAAACACAATAATGTTTGTTATCATTAAAATCACAATGCTTGAATCAGGTTTTCAACATCATCCACCTGAGCATTGTCATCTCACTTAACAACTTAATATAATGCTTCTCTCTTAATGACCAATATTCTGCACCAGAAAGCATTGTCGGTCTCACCACCATCTTATAGAACTTTCTCTTAAGTTTGAAGGAGGACTTTTCTATCACACAACAAGCCCAATGCATTCCACCATATCAACCATCCAACTTAAATGCTAGTATTCTACTAATAATATCCCCATCTATTTTACCATCACTTTGAACAATATATCCAAGATATCTAAAACATGTACTTGTATTAATGACTTGATCACCTAAAGTCACAATCCCCTCACTAGATCTATTACTACTAAAATTACACTCATTTTGGTTTTAAAAACGAAACCTTTAGACTCCAAGGTTGACCTCCATAATTCAAGTTTACCTTCAACTCCCTCTCTAGTCTTATTAGCAAGAAGAATATCATCAACAAAAAGCATACACCATGGTACAACCTCTTACAAATGTCTAGTGAAAACATCCATGACTAAAGCAAAAAGATATGGGCTTAAAGTTGATTCTTGATGTCATCCAATAGAAATAGGAAATACTTGGTCAAACTATCTTGTGTTTGAACACAAGTAACAGCTCTTGCATATATATATATCCTTGATGACTTGAAAATAAGAACTATTAACCTCTTCTCTAGAACTCTCCATAGCACTTCTCTTGGACCTTTATCAAGTGCTTTCTCTAAATCAATAAATATCATATGTAGATCCTCTTTATTCTATCCATACTTCCCCATCAAAATAGTTATGTATTATTTGTTAAAATTTTAATTATTACATAATTTATATTATATTTGAATAAACCTAGCATTTATTATGTCATCCGGTTGAACTATCAAAGCGTGAACCCTCCTTCCATTTAATTATCCGGTCTAGTTTAACACAGCATTAATGAAAACTCAAGAAGAAATTGTCTTAAAAATTATAGGACATAAGATAAATACAATAAAACTATCATATAATAATAAATTGAACAACTAGACATTCATAAACATAAGTATAAAATTCAACAAGACCATATGAAATCATGAGAGAATATACTATCATGTTAATATATTCTGTCATGAGAAAATAAGCCTCATCCTCATACAAAACTTATAAGAATATCCACATAGAATTTTTTTTCAAATGCAAAGTATCAATACAACCCAAAATATTTTAGAAAATCTGGACTATAAGTTTAATTAACATCTATGAAAATCGACAAATGACAAATTACTCTATCAAACGCTCCGCTTCCACGGTCCAGGGCGCAAGTGTTTCATAATGATTAATTTTTCATTTCAATCAGACAATTTCAGAATCGAGCTATGCCGCACAAACACATCAAAACAAGAGCTCCTTAAGCTCCAAAGAGCTGACTTGAGCTTTGGGTTGAACTTGGGAACCCAAAATGCCCGAGGAAACTCAAATCTTTCTTGACTGCTTGTGCACAAGAAAGCGATACATTACCTACCCCCAAATTTTGTGCAAAATAACGATGTAGATCTTGGATATCGACCTGTCATTTTTCCTTACGAAAACAATAGTTCCCACGGAAACAAGTCTGGACTTTTAAATGCAAAAATATAATACAACTTAATCGATGCTTTCACCAGCTAGAAAATTCAAGAGTTACATTCCAAAAGAGAATAGCATCTCCAAAAATCAACCAGAAGACCAAATCAGCAAGACATTAGTCCATTTGACAAGAATCAAATCAAGTATCAAAGGGATGTGAATGGAAACGAAAATCAACACGCATAATGACAAATCATCGCTCTTGCGCTTCAATAAACAAAAATCACATAATATCAAGAACAAAAGTCCCAGATCTGACGAGGTTCAGATGTGATCCAAAGCAGAGATACCTGACTTTTCCGGTAGCTCGCCGGCAGGGTCGCAATTGAGATCCCCACTCCTGTGATTGAAGCCATGGTTGATCACGGTATCAGATCTGCGAGCGTACGACGAAGAGAGAAAGAGAATGGAGGTATGAGCACAAAGACCGTGTGGCTTGACGAGAGAAGTTCGTATTTTAAAGGGCGCAAGGGAGGCCTTCTAGCTTCGGGAATATCGGAGGCGGAGAACACGAAGGGGAGGAGGGGACGCACGCAGCGCAGCTGAACGCGAGAACGCCAGCGCTGCTGAATGTGAGAATGGGATTGCACGTGCGAGCAGCCCAAAAAAGTAAAAAAACAGTTCAACAATGCAATGTTGATGAGAGGCTATTGTATTAATAGAAATGATATTTACATCCATGCCATTTATATCATGTTATTTACAAGGTTGTGAAAATCGGACCGGACAAAGAACCGGAAGAAGGAGAGGTTTAAGGTTCAACCGGTCGAACCGGGGTCGAACCGGATGATGTAATAAATACTAATATTATTAAAAATTTATAACATTAATAAAATAATTATGTGAATTTAACATCAAATAATATAATTCTAAGAATTTAAATTATATAATTTTAATAAGTTATCTCTCAATATAATTAAATTAAATTGAAATGATGAATATATTATAATATAATTGTAATTTATAAAATATTTAGTTAATTATATTCTATTTATGAATATCTAATAATTTAATTATAAAGGAGTAAGAGATAGTTAGCTTTTGGCTCTATATATAGTTTCCTCTTTTCTAACAAAACTTGTTTCATGAGATGACAACCATATATTATGGTATCAAAAATCTCATTATTTAATAAAAAAATTATTTTTAAAAAATGTAATGAAGTAAAATATATTATTTATATTTTATTTATCATTTTTTTTTTGAAACCGGCCGGTTCTTTCAAACCCGGACCGGTTCGTCGGTTCACCGGTTGAACCGCCGGTTCAGTCCGGTACAGGCCGGTTCTCTGCGAAGCCGGTTTTTGAACTGGACCGGATCGGACAACTGGCCGGTTCACGGTTGAACCGGCCGGTCCGGTTCGATTTTTAAAACATTGGTTATTTATATATTTAATCTATAAAAAATTATATTTTATGTCTATTATTGATAGACAATTTTAATATCAAATATATTACTCATATATTTTATTTCTATCAATCATGTGAGCCTATAAATTTTAATTATTTATTCAATGCACATATATTTGATATAGGATGATAGGTATGAAATATTGAAATTTTGAATATTAGATATATAAATAGCATGATATAAAGAGGTATATATGTAAATCCCTTTAATAAAAACTATGATCTTTTATTAGGCAATTAACTCAAATTCGCACACACATCACATATGCAAGACTCGAACTCAATACCTCTTTGTTGTTAGCCAAAATTTCCAACTAACAGATCAAGATGAGTTATATACTATATTTGATCAATACATTAGAAAATGTTGTGAAATTTATAAAATTAAAACTATAGCTAAATAAAGCAATAAACAAAAGAGATTTGTAAATATGTACATCAAATATTACAAATATAAAATAAGGATTAACAAAGTATTAAATGAGTTGGAGACAAATCTCTCAAAATATATAGTATTCAACTCGATATATTTATCATCATGATGTTTAAGCAGTAGCAACTAAAGGGCGGTATCTAAAATGGTGTTCTTTTAAAGGTAGTTAGAACGAAATAGTGGGTTATCTAAAATGGACAGCTTTTTTTATTGATTTTTAAAGCGATTTTCTAATAAGTAAAATTTTAAAACTAAAATATTTTGTATAAGAAAGCAATAAAAAAGTTACCCCAAATAACACCCTAGTTGATAAATTACAATTATATAAAAAAGGAGCAACAAAACAAAATAATTTCCTAAAATTTTAAAGCCCTTAAAAGATCTAGTGGAATAGAATAATTTCCTTTTGAATCCAAAACTCATAGAAGTCATGTGATGTTAAAAAGAGTGCTGAACCAATCCAAAATAATATGTTTCACCTCAAAGGTCACAATATATAATAGTTGTGTTAATGAAGATAAGGATATAAATATTTTGTCACAATATATAGATATGTAGCACAAAAATAGAGCCACATTGTATGTCATACTCCAAAATCTATATTAGAAGAATTACATTTGTCTTTCATTTTAATCATTTAACTAGAGCTTACCAATGAATAACAAAAATAAACATGATTATTTTCTTTTTGTTCGAAGTCTCATATCATAGGATCATTATCTTTTCTTGAAAATATATAAAACCACGTAATGTGCACATAACCCAATAATTAACTAAAATATTTAATTGAAATTAATGCAAGATAAATAAGAACAATATGCAATAAATCATATAAAAAGTATATGCATTAATATTTATATCAATTTATCCTTACATCATCACATCTCAATCCATTATATCATCAGTCGCAGTATCAGTAATAGTCAACAATACTAATGCAGTAACAATATTAGTATCATGATCAATAACGTTACATAGTGTTAATGATAGTAAACATTATTAATGTTATTCACAATATAAGTATAGTGTTCGTAACAATGTCGGTATCAGCATTCAGATATTTAATACGTGTATCTTAAAGGTATTTTGCTTCTACACTTATAACTCCCAAACAATCACGCCTTATAACTCATAATCAATGTACTCCATATAACTTCCATTAAATCACATTAATCAGTCACCCTGACTGCTTATAACTCCCTACCTATAGTTCCTTATAACTCTCAGTTAATAAATCATATGGGTCAATATAGTATCATGCATAGTTATCATATCATGTACCTGATATCTTTCAATACTTCATTTAAAATATAGCAAAATCATTTCGATCAATTCGTTCTTAATGATCAAATTTATAATATATCCAAACTTGCACAATAAAAGCTTATGAACTTAGAAGATAATGCAATGTTTGTATATTTTAGAGGGAAAAAATTTATAGAAATCAAAATCATCAAAAGCATAAGTAAGAAATTAGTCACTTATAATAAATATAATAAAATCAGTAATATAAATGGCTGAAAAATATGATCCAAATATCATTCTCTCTCCTCTCTCCTCTTCCCCCTTTCAATTTCTTCCTGGCCAAATAATCAAGTGAGGGAGTAAGTGAGGTAAGACAGTGAAATATATATATATATATATATATATATATATCGTATGATTCTAATATCATTTCACACTCAAATGCTAAATAAACGCTTGATGATTAAGGTAATTAATATGGACCATATGATGGAGTGTTTTGAATTCTAGTTTAAATTATGAAAATGTATATCACAAAAAGCCTATAAATAGAGCTATATTATCCACATGAAAGGGAAAAAAGGGAGATAATTAGAGAGTTTTCTTGTACTTTTCGACTATCACCATGGATGACCACCAATAATTACCAATGTCGTAGGTGAACACCATCAATAATCATCGCAATCTTCATATTTCTTTCAAGATTTAATTCAGCTATTAGGTTTCAACTGTTCACTTGTGAACACTATACTTATATAATTTTATAAAAGAGATATTAGACATTTTATTATCAAGTAGTCATCTTCTTTTTCAATTGAAGAGAATGAAATATTATTGTATCTTCTGATATATAGTGAACTTTTCTAGCACACAATAATTATAAAATAAGCATAATCCTTCACTAGCAATACTTTAATGAATTAATTAGATTATTTGCATTATTGAGAATGCTGATAAACCTTCCATGCATGTGAAGAGTGATAATTAAATAGAATGGCCTTTAAGCTAAGCAAATTTAAGCCAATTGATATAGATAACTAGGCAAAAAAAAAAAGATTTTTATCTTCAAAAAATGCAAAACAAACTTTTTCACTCCATAAAATTTTATCATTAGCATTAGACATAGCCATTTGAGTAAGAAGATCATGACAAGCTAGGGAGAATTGAGGATGAAATTCAAGTAAAACCTAAGTGTTATTAATAATATTGTCTTAGTAGTTCCATGGTGCTTAAGAAAATGGTTAATTTTATACTATAAAATTTCCCTTAAAGAATTCCCATTTAACCATTGATTATATCATAGTGAAATAAGATTTTCATCACTAATAGAAAAGGAAATCCACCCTTAAGTGGAAACATCTTTTAATTCCTTTCACAAATTAGATATCCTAGCTACTAATAATACTATTCTATAGCATTCACACTTGCTCAAGATAAGTTGTACTCATTAATATGAAAATTATATATCACATATTGATTGAAATTTTTTTAGGTAAAATCATTTAAAACTCATTGAAAATACTAATTAAATATGAGTAAAATTTACAAATGAACTATTAATCTTGCATATGCATTAAAGTTTACAAATGACAAAAAAAATCAACAAATATTTTACTAAAATATTTACCATCAGTTTTTTTTAATATATTTTGATGACGTATATTGGATTTTACTTTGTTTTTCATACAGCAATCACAATTTCATTTGGTTATTGCTTTCTTATCACAATTTCATTTGGGACGACGTCGTCCCAAACAAAATCTAAAATAGTTAATAAGTTACTTTTAATATAACACATTCACAATCAACTTTATAAAATAATATAGTCATAAAAAATATACCATTAATATTATAATTTATCATGATAAAACTTTCTTAAGAAAATACAACTGGATATAATTCATAACAGAAAGATATTTTCTTGAAATAATATATATATATATATATATATATATATATATATTATTTGACCTTCACTCTTCGCCAAGTTTCTACCCGACGCCGGACTTCTACCGGTTATCGAACTTCGCTGGATGTCTACGCGAAGATGGATTTCTTTCCATTATTGGACTTCTACCTTATGTTGTCCTTCTGATCTTCGTCGTCAGACTACAGTCTTTCCGACCTCCGACATCGCCCGCCGACTACGGTCATTCTGACTTATGTCGACCGCCGACTATAATCTTTCCGACCTTTGTCGCCCATCGACTACGGTCTTCCTGACTTACGTCGTCCGCCGACTACAGTCCTTCCAACCTCCGTCGCCAGCCGACTATTGTCCTCCTGACTTACGTCGCCCACCGACTACAAGCCCTCCGACCTCCATCGCCCGCCGACTACGATCTTCCCGACCAAACGAATATGTCAATAGTGATTCTTTGTATTCATATCATGTAATGTACTCTATAAAATGTACATCAAGCTTTGGCCTGCTCCCAAGGAGGGGCCTCATTTGTAATCGACTGCAATACTAGTGGATTCATTCAAACTGGGCTAGGCCCCGTGGTTTTTTCCCCCTTTTCAGGGGTTTTCCATGTAAAAA